TTTTATACATTTCTAGGCATGTAAATATTTATATAGTCATTCTTAAACAATATTCAAAGGTAAAACTAATGAAAAATACATAAAAATATTGAGAAAGTTATATAAAACATTATTTAAATATCTTTATCAATAGGGTAGGTTAGGTTAGGTTATCGGGTTTTGTTCAAGTGACCACCCTCTTTCGATCCCCCATCTCCACCCGCTTGAAAATAATTATTTTATTAAATTTTATTTGAGTTATAGTATATGAAAATTGTCAAAATAATCAACTTTAAACCCCATAACTTTTTATCGTGGTGAGCGTCACGAACTTTTTATGGTACAGTGGTGGGGGAGACCTCCTCGATTCCACCCCCCATCATCTAGACATTTATCCAATTTAGTACTGCAATAACGTTTAGACAAAATAAATTAAATAAGTGCATTACAGGCAGCACTAATATGTAAACGTAAAATTACAAAAGAAAGAAAAAAACAGTAGTTACGTAAACAGTAGTCGATAATTGACCCTCATATGAATAATTATATGTAACTTTATTAAGGCAAATTTCCACACCATCATTGTCAGATTGCCAAGTCGTATTACCTTTTTTTTGAGGGTTGTGGTAAGTAAGTATACCAAAATAGTCAAATAAGTCTTCAAAAATTTCGCATCACACATCAATAGGTATTTTGCATTTAGCATTTAAAATAAAAAAGGAAAATAAAAAAAAGTATTTGCATTTACTTTTAAAAATCTATTTTGCACATCTCTAGTAACAACTACTGTTTTACAATGACAAATTGATCTACTTTAATGGTTGATATTGTATTGTTGAATTAGTTTATTGAACTGCGCATGCATTAGTTTATACAAGAAGAATAAACGGATACTTAGAGGTTGGCTGTTAATATAAAGACCCTCGATCTTGATACTTGATCTAATCTAGCCAACAGACCATACATAAGCAAAAAATACAAAACAAATACTCCACTATAAGAACAAAGGCTTTCACGGCCGGAATCCATAGTATAATGAAGATTTGGGCTATAGGGCCGTGGTCTAAGTGAACTATTCTGTCCAGGTGTTTTGTCAGCTACTGCGGCTGACATCCTCAGTGGTAGTGCTGAGTTGACGACGTGAACGTAGATTATATTTCGAAGTTTCGGACAAACTCAGTCGAAGTCTCGACAGTCTCAGTCGCTGTCGAGACTTCGAGATATAATCTACGTTCATTCTACTTACTATAAATACTACACGGATGCTGGTAATTTGGACAGACATAGGTACTTAATTCTCTTGTTTTACACCCTGTATATTCACCTCATGAATTAATAATCAAAAACATAAAGCAATAATTTGCTAATTATCAACTGAAAATATTGACTAATAACGTTAATAGTTGCAATTGTTGGAATAGTACACTAATACAATTGATGGGTTTGTTTTTATACATTTCAAACACAAAAATTTCACACACTTTTACGTAGGATATTTGCAACAACTAAATATTCATAAGATGATTTCTTATCACTTAAATTTGTAAAATGAACATTATTTTTAAATAATGGCATTTTCTGATCTGTTTATAGTAATTTTTTTTACAATTTACAATTCATTCTTTTACTTTATGCTTCTTTGTTAACAAGTGTAGAAAATTTTTTCAAAACAACCAAATGGTCTCTAACGGGTAAGTTTCAAAGATACTAAGCGTTAGTAGTAGATATCACATTAAAATATTCTGTTTATCAAAAAGCAGCTATCATATAGTTGCTGGTGAAAATGGAGAAGATGTAAATGAAGAAACAGTAAACATATATGAAGCAAAATCATACAGAGTTGTTTTACCCCAGGCATGTAAACTGTTTAATTATAGATAAATTATCGACTACCCAAACCTTATTTGCTTTTAGCTTTACTCGGTTTGTGTAGCGTCATCGTTTAATTTGTTAACAGGAATGATTTTATCATTTTCGGGTATTGTGATCCCGGAACTTGAAAAACCCGATGCCCAAATTCATGCGTCAATAGACGAAACATCTTGGATAGGTAAAAAAATCGTAAACGTCAAACAAGATTTTCTCAATATCTAATTAAATTTATATCCTAGCCAGTGCTACATCGTTATCGATGGCGTTTGGCTCTATTTTTAGTGGATTTATGGTAGATCATTTTGGAAGACTAGAAACCATAAGATTATCGGCCTTACCTTCAATTTTAGGATGGCTTCTAATTGCATTGGCACAAAACACTGCCATGGTGATTTGTGGCAGAATATTTACAGGATTAGGGGCCAGTAAGTAGATACCTGCCACATTTTAATAATGCGTCTAAATTTAATTAAACAATTTTGTAGTAACCGCATTAAACGCAAGTGGTCCTTTTGTTTGTGAAATAACTTGGCCACAATTTAGGGGAAGCTTTCTGGCTTCAATATGCCTCGCTTCTTCCTTAGGTATACAGACCGTCGTTTCAGAAGTTGACGACAGGCAATTAATGTAATTGTGATATTTTCAGGAGTAGAGCTGATATATTTAGGGGGATATTTCTTTAGTTGGAAAACAATAGCCTGGTTGTGTTTTTGTTACGCTATTCTATTATTCATTGTAACTTATTTCGTTCAAGAGAGTCCGAGTTGGCTGATAAAAAGGGGAAGACTTGAAATAGCCCGGAAATCACTACATTGGTATACAAAATATCAAAATTTGGACGATGGAGAAAAGGTACTTCTTAGTTAAACGTAACGTAAAACTTTTAAGGGCTTTGATGATTTCAGAACACTGCCGAGATGCACTTAAAACACTTAACGAAACAATTTCACAGAATAAATAAAAAAATACAAAGTAAGAACCCAACGAATTTAAACGTTCTAAAACGTTTTACGAAGCCCGGGACGTATAAACCAGTACTAACTCTAATCGGACTGTGTGCGATACAACAATTTTCTGGAATTTATGTTATCACTGCATACGCCGTAACTTTCTTTGAAGTAATTTACTTAAGAGTACCTAAATTATATTATATTATAATTATTGCAATTTTTAGAATATTGGAAGTAACATTAGCCCAATTATATGCTCAAACATAGTTACGGGGTTACCAGTTCTCGCATCGCTATTAAACATTTTTACAATGAACAGCATTAAAAGGAACAACCTTCTGATGTTTAGCTGTCTAGGGATGGCTCTAAGCCTTTTTGTTTCTGGAATATTTACTAAATGGATTCAAGAAGGTAATAAACCCTCCTAAAAAGATCTTATAAGTGTACAAAGAATCCGTTAAGTATTAAGTCTCACCTCACATCACCTTAAGGTCGTCAGTCCAATGACTGGTTGGGCCAGAGACGTCATTATACGAGACAGCATCTGCTGGATACAAGGTGCATTGTGGTAGGCATTCAATTACATCCAAAATAGGCAGAAATCATAGGGTACATACGGTGGAATAAACGGATACCGGATGATTGTGTCGAAATATTTGTTGTTATTGTTAAAATGATAAACGCTGGTATATACCAGTTACCATACAGAAAATTTGGAGAGAGACATTGAGAAACCACGAATTATACGGAAATACTATTATGAAAATCACATCTTTGACTTAGCAGCCCGAACGTAATTCAAAAAATATCACGTCAACAACAGAGCTATAGCTGCCACTTAAAAGAGGATAATATGAGAAAACGCGGATGTATCTATCTGTTGCAATATAAACGACATTATCGCAGGTACTAAATTTATCCCAATGTCTACGACACCGTTATCCACAATTCAACATATCTACTCTTACAACAGTAAATGTCCAACGCCAAAACCACTCAATTTTTTCGGTAAATTATTAGGCGATATGTGAAGGACGTCCTAATACAGTACATTGCTGCCATACGAATTTTGCATGCCTGTTGATGCAACTTACGCTTTTCACGGATAGGTATAGACGTAACCACAAATACAAAATTCCAACTTTTACAAACAAAAAATAGGGGTTGTGTGTGTGGTGATGCGGTAAAACTATTTGGAATTGCCGAAACACATGGCGTGGACGTTAGCGTTATGTTCCTCGACGAGAAGAGGTTTTGAAATTGAATGAAAAAATTGCATATCTTCACGACATCCAAACACTTATGTTTATTTACGGGTTTTTAGGTACTTTAAATAAACATTATAAACCGTGAAACGTCACTTTTCCTTAGACCACCTAAACAATACGCCTCTCTCCATTTCTTTGCGAACGCATTTTATGAACGGACCCTATTTATCACGAAATAAATAATGTTGTCCTGAAGCATTATAAGTAATAATTCTAACTTTGGTAGGCAACGATTGGATACATTCCTGCGTCAGTTTATTTGTTTTATAATTTCTTAACGTTCTTCTCGAAGCTGTCACTAACAGTAATCTTCTATCAGTACACAATATTAGATAGGATCAATCGTGATTATATTCATGTTGCCGAGCCGTCCCTATACGTCCTTATTTCTAACTATTCTTCCAGGGTATTTTCATTATACCTCTATAGCACCCCGCTATTAACCTTCCCTTTTCTTTCGCGTCCATGGTCCACAATTAGCACTTATACAAAGACGTTGCAGGCATACACTTTTAACAGGCGTTTTAGATTTTTTTAAATAATTCGTTAACAGAAGTGATTTCATTCTGTTAAAAGCTGCCTGACTTATTCTTTGCTTTATATCTCTAGCATTTCTCCTTTCCTGGGTTATATTTCCTAATTATCGAAAATTGACGACTTCTAATTTTTCCCTCTTCTTTTTTTGTATTTACTTTAATCCAATTTTTACGTCCCTAAAGCATCAATATTTTTATTTAATTTTCATTAATTGTCATTCCATTTTCTAGTTCCATTTTATTTAAAGCTTTCCTTGCTAGAAACTAATATTGCTGTATCATCCGCAAATTGGAGCTTGCTTATATTTTCTCCCTGCATGTAGGTCCCTGAAGTGAGTGGCTTCATTTTAACGTAATTTGCAATTATTTTATTTGCGAAAATTAGGAAATGGACAGTTTTCCATTTGAAAACTAGAAAATACATCACCATCATCATCATAATCATTTAGTAATGTGCCTATTAAAGATCATCTGTTTGCTTTTTACTTGAACCATATTTTTATACGAAAATTAATCAAAAAAGGCCTACACGAATTTCGGGCCGTGAGGTGAGAATTCGCTTTGACCATGTTATGGTAACGAAGTTATGAAAAGAAGAGAAATCACTCTTTCTATCGAAAGTCGGCGATTTTTTCGGATTTAACTTTACGTTCACCTTCCTTGAGTTCCAAAATAAAGATATTTTGTTTTTGAAAATTTATAAATCTGCAGGAGTATCTCAGGAGAAATGGGTACCAGTAGTTTCTCTTTTCGTGTACATGACGATGGCCATTTTGGGATTGGAACCGATACCATGGGCAATGATGGGAGAAGTTACGCCATCTGACAATAAGGGTGTGATTGTGGGATTCGTCACAGTTACAGTGGAGGGCATAATGTTTGCAGCTATTCACAGTTTCCGGACTCTGCAGCAACTACTGGGAAGTTCGGGGGTGCAATTCCTTTATGGTACAATTGCCCTCTGTGGAGTAATTTTTGTACGACTATTCGTTCCAGAAACTTTTAAAAAATCGCTGACTGAAATCGAACATAATTTTCATGAAAAAGTTTAGAATAGGTCAAATAATGTAGAAGAAGCATTATAGTTTACAATTTTTGTACCTATTTCTCGTCATTGTGATTTAGTTTGTTAAACCCACAGTTGAAGAGTTGAATACAAATTATTCAAACAAGTCGTTTTTTTTTTTGTAGGCACGTGTAGTATGAACATTTATCATACTTATTCGACACTTAAAATTATCTACACTAAAGCACTTATAATATTTCGAATAATATTTACCATAAGAATACTTGTTTAATTTTCTTGAAAATGTGTGACTGGGACACAAATTTACAGTGCGTTTGGAGTGTGTTATTCACGCTTTAAGTCAGTAATTACCAAATGTGCTCTATATCAACCTCCAGCGATCGACTCTGATTTGCAGGGGATCCATGTCAGCGAAAACAAAAATTGGGACAGTATGATATGTAAATTGGGGTCACATAACATTAGTACTCACATAATACCTACTTTCATCTGATCTATGTATAGGTATAAATTACATCTCAACTAAAAATTTTTAGACTATAAATGTTTATGAAACATAAGGAAAATTTGGAGTTATATTTGGGAACCATATTTTAATCGTGAGAAAATTCGAGATCGTTGATAGGAATTGAATTCCGTCGAACTAACAGCTTAAATGGTTTGAATTTTACTTAGTACTAATTATTAGAATGCTCTTTTGAGTTCAATCCACCTATTTCGTTTTATTGATAAAATTATGGTTATACATTCGTTACTGAAGTATAAGCCATTACGTTAACTTTTTAACAATTATTATCATTTTTAATGAGAACTCAAATGATAAAGCTCTTGAATTAGTTCCATGTTGATTGTTCAGTTAATTTTTGACAACTGATTTGCTTGCACGCTCGTCTTCAATTTTTTCTTATCCCAAAAAATGGATCAAAGAATCTGTATCAAATTTTGTGTGAAAAAACAATTAAGTGTGCGGACGCATTCCGAATGTTGACTGTGGCAAATGGTGAAGCTACATTGGACCTTATCGGTGGTACAAAATGTTCTCAGAGGGCCGAAAAGAACGAAGAGCGTGCCGGACGCCTGAGCACATCAACGGCAAACGAAAACTTGATGAAATAAAGAAAATAGCATTGGTCAATCATGGAATTACCATTAAAGAAGTTGCTGAGTTGGCTCCTGCCATTCGATTTTTATTAATGATTTGGACATGCTTAATTTCGACCAAAACATCATCGCATTAACATTGCTAAGAAGTTATTGGATTGTCCGCGGTGATCCAAAGCTTAATCATTTCAATGGAAGCTGCCGCACGAGCCAAGACCGAAAAAAGCGCGCCAAGTTAGTTTGAATGTGAAGGTTTTGCTTACAGTTTTTTTCGATTGACACAGGATAGAACGGTCAATAAGGAATATTACATGCAAGTTATCGACTTGCAGAATTGAATTGCGATCCGCCTTTGACGGTTTCAACAGAATACTGCCCACCATGAACTTCTTGAATTTCTACGAAAAAGTTTAGAAACCATTGCTTTAGACCAAAAGGAAGGTCCTGAGGAGAGAACGAAAAAAACAAATTTTAGGCAAACTAAAATCGGTATCACTCTTTTTAGCAAATTAAAAATAACTTCGGCGGATATGTAGTTTACAACTCCACCTCTGAAATTGGCTAAGCACAATAACAAAATTTGGCAGTGATACCAACTTTCTCTTTAAACAGATGCGGTGTATTTATATTGGCAGCATTACAATATTTGAAGCCATCTTCAAGGAGGGTGTTGTTAACTACACTTTTAGCATAATTTTAAAATTGAGATAAGGGTTTCTCTTACGTTAGTTTTTTGATGTGGAAATACAACTATACGTAGACATTAATGATTATCATCACAGGATCATCGGTCTGAGGACTCGCTAGACATGCATATGCACTTTTTCATATCTTGAAACAGACCTCACCTTTCCCTAATCCTAGAACAACCCACATTCCAACTGTTGGTGTTGCCAGTAGGTACCAACAAATCGTTTCAAACTATAAATGTTTTGTGTTGATTAATTCGCTCATACTGTTTATGAGTGCTGAAATTCTGTTTCCCAGAAAAAAGAAATGTTCTGAAGTTTCATGTAAACCGCAATTGCGTTTCTTGCATTTCTTGACTTTCTTTATAGACTAAGTCCAATATCTTTAGTGGGTAAACTGAAAATAAAGAAAACATAGGACAAATTTTATTGATAGAGGATGTTTTCGCCGATGGCAATGGGATCGGTAAAGGGTCTCCTCTATTCTACAGTTATACAAATATCAAAGAATAAAGGCTGGAAATGAAATGGAGATAGTTACGTAATGTAAAATTGGATTTAAAAAGGTGTCTAAAGGAAGCCGCAGAACGACTTTGAACAAGACATTTTGTCTTGACATCCTTATTGGAGAAAATTGAGTATGAAATAGAAATATCGATTTTGTTTTCCAACGTCCAATTTAATCAGACGAAGAACAAGTATAATCTACTATTTATGAAATAATAAAGCTCCCAACATTTCCTTCATCTTCCTTTTATAAATGTCACAATTCAAATAATGTAAGTTATTTCTAAAAAATAGTATTTTATTGTATTTAATTTTGTTATACTTATTTCATACCGACCATGATCTTTCACTTGAGATTAGATATACTTTTAATTATTCTAATTGACATGGAAATGAGCGATTAAATAAAGGTATTAGATCGGAGACCAAACGAAGTAAAACCTGTTAGATGGGGGTTCTTAAAAGTTTAATTTCGTTAAGTTTCTACTTGACGGAAAATCTAATTATAAAAATTTGTTATTGAGTTATTGCTAATTACTATACGAAATATGAAATGTGACAATCACTAATCCCAAATAAATGTGTCTGCCTGCCGGTTAAAGATATTACAGATCATCAAAACCTAGAGGGCACTTACGGTAGTCTGTCTGTCAGTCTAAAATATTACAGATCATCAAAACGTATTAGCTGAGTTAGGATTTTTAAATTTAGATTAAAGTGAGATCTCATGGCATAAATACAGAAAAAAGAAATTAAAATTACGAATTTTAAATTAAATTATACAAAATAGTACAGAATATTGTCTGATTGGGATACAACCTCATAGATCTATGTAAATAGTATTATTAGGAAACGTGGTACTCCGTTATAATTTGATACCTCGAATTTCTGGGGCTATTTGGGCGAGTTATTGATTAAATACGCTAATGGAATGACAACAATTGATACTAACATATACTGAAAATTTATTGACTAAATTTCGTATTACTTTTATTTGAAGAATAATAAAAAGATTTCGACTTCATTTGAATAGGTAGATAATTAATGTATTTTTTGAACAGAATAAGAGCAAAAATTGTCGGGAAAGAGTAAAATTTTAGTTCTGGACAGTTCGAAGCTATCTTAAAACTTCAGGATATTTGCCGGAATTATTATTATTATTATTTCTTTATGTTAGTATATTTATTTAACACAGTCAAAAATTCCAAATTTTGAATTCGGAAATATTGGCAATGATAGTTGTATGCTTACTTATAATATAATGTATATACACACATTTAGGTGTGACCATTGGAATGCTTTATTGTATTGATCGTTAGTTAGGACGTGCCAGTATCGAAAACTTTGGTTTCTGAAGATATTTATTTATTATTAGTTCTAAAGATCTCTCGGGCCGGATGGAGACTTTTATGCGGGCTGGAGGTTGACCACACGATAAATAGGAAAAGAAACTTTCGATCAGGTGTTCTGTCCCCCTTAAGACTTTCATTGAAGTATGGTTAAATGTTAACAAATTGCCGTAATCTGGTGAATATAATTTATTACCATGTCAAGTACCTATTAATTTTTTCCTTTTTCTTTATATAGATAGATTAAAATAAAAATTAATGCAACTAAAAACAAACTACTAAATTTGTATTGTACAATTTTGAAGCTTGAAAAGTTTGTGTGAATTTGATGATTCCGTTTTGCACGGCTTTAAATGCTATTTCGACATTTAAAGGCCGACCCAAAAGAATTTAATACCGTTGTTACAGTTAAACCGAATAACGTGGGAGCATAAAATTAATTGGCCGTTTTAGTTTAATAAACTTGCATGGCAATCTGTAGATCGACAAATAGCGGATTTGGGCTTGTAAAAGTGATATCCGCGTCTCGATATTGCTCTATTACAACGGCTTATTTGAGCCACATGTCCATTTTACGACTAATGAAAACAAGCAATAAATAACACATAAACCTGATGCGATGCGGTTTATTCTGTTGTAGCGACTACAAACTCTACTGGTCAGATGTTGTTCATACAAACTCATAAAATTGTATCAATATTGGGCTGAGGGCAAAATGTGTACCCACAGACCAAGCAGACGCATATAAACTGAAATACAAATGAAAATTTTTGTTGATTAGAAGCTAAATTAATATGTACATATTTTAAGATATCCTATTTCTTAAGTGAACATTACCGAGACCAACTTAGGCAGCATTGATTGGAACGTTAATAAAAAGCGGTTGTGAGCAGGTGTTTCTGTATCTACTCCTAACATAGACGCGTTGGGTATCTAATAAATAATAAATTTAATTATTAATGTGAAAATTAATTTTTTTGACGTGACAACGTCTTATAATTCGATGGAGCCGGCTGCACGCACGAAAAAACATGACTCATGCGGCGTTACCTCGCTCTGAGGCGTTCCATTTAAGGCTTGAAGTGCAAGCGAGAGCGCGGAACGAGCGACAAAGAGGCACAATCGGCCTCCGCGTTCGGCAGCGTTCGACATCTGTCTCTCTCCTACTTGAGTGAGCGATGCGTCCGCGTGGACAGCTGCTATACAGTAATACATTTCCATTTACCTCCTTCTCTATATCCATACAAAATATCTATCAAACAAATAAAATTAAAATTTTCTTTTGAAAACTGAAACCATTCCATCAGTATTTTCTTATGACGTTGTCACGTTCAATTATCGTCAATAAACCGACTTTACAGACAACCGATTTTTAATTTAATCCCACTACAAACTCCCTCAAATTAATAGAATTGAACTCGGGACCTTTGGCTTTACGCACCGATTCTCTGACCACTAAGC